CCCTCTCCCCTCACCCAATCCTCCCCCCTCCCCCCAAGTTGTAAAGTTCGTTTTCAACATGACAACTTGTACTTCTCATTGTTGTAACAGTTCCACCTGTATCCTTATTTAAACGACTTGTTTTTCCCCTTCCCCTCCACAAATTATACCGACATCAAATACAGTGAAAGCAGGGGGAGGGACATACAAAGCAACAAAGAAATAATCTTATAATTGCATTAGAAACAAATTCATGAAAGAAAAAAAACATTTAAAATACATATCTTAGGGTTCATTTTCCTAACATCACATTATCTGACCTTTTCTGCTTGACTCATACATATACTAGATATTGCAAATAAGGGAAATCATGGGACCTATGTTTTTTTGGGCTTGGCTTACTTCACTTAATATAATTTTTTCCAAGTCTTTCCATTTCCTAACAAATGGGGCAATGTCATTCTTTCTGATGGAGGCATAGAATTCCATTGTGTATATATACTACATTTTCTTGATCCATTCATCTACTAAAGGGCAATTGGGTTGGTTCCAGATCTTAGCTATGGTAAATAATGCTGCAATAAACATAGTTGTGCTGGTAGCTTTAGTGTGGTCTTGTTTGTAAACATTTGGGTAAATGCCCAAAAGTGGGACTGCTGGGTCATAGGGGAGCTCTATGTGAAGTCTTTTGAGGAACCTCCATACTGTTTTCCAAAGTGGTTGAACAAGTTTACACTCCCACCAACAATGAAGTAAGGTTCCCTTCTGTCCACATCCCCTCCAGCATTTGTTGTTATTAGAGTTCTTGATTAAGCCATTCTAACTGGGGTGAGGTAGTATCTCAATGTTGTTTTGATTTGCATTTCTTTTATGGCGAGGGAGGTTGAGCATTTCTTCATGTGTCTATTGGCCATCCTTTCTTCTTCAGAGAAGTTTCTCTTTAAGTCATTAGCCCACTTATTTATTGGGCAGTTCTTTCTTTGAGGATTTGTTGTTGGGGGATTTAATTTTTTGAGTTCCAAGTATATTTTAGATATGAGACCCTTTTCTTTCATTTTTTCTCCTTTGGTTTATCCCCTGTTGTCACTGTTTTTTATTTTGGTACCCTGTGTCTTGTATGTACATCTATCTGGTTTGGGGAAGGGAAAAGGAAGGGAATAACAAAATGGTGAGACAAAGGGTGAACCAATGTAGCAGCAAAGACACTATGTTGGAAATGAACTTTGCATCTTGGGGAGGAGTCTGAGGGGCGGCGGGAACGGGAGAAAAACTAGGGAGAGAGTAACAACATTCAACAAGAAATATACTCATTACCTTACATATGTAACTGTAACCCCTCTGCTCATCACTTTTACAATAAAATTAAAATTTTAAAAATAAGTAGAAATACAATATGAATACTAATAAAATAACTTGTATGACTAATCCTCTGCTTATATCTTCACTTTTGGTTTCTAGTTAGAAAAAATCTACAATTTTTTTCTGGAAAGAATAAGTATTTAATAAGTAAGTAATTTAGGCTTGTTAGCTGTCAGATCTCTGCCTTAATTGCTCAGTTCCATTGTTAATGGTTCAAAACCAGACCTAGTAAACAAGCATGGCCTTACTTAACAAAAACAGGGAGCAATCAGGGTTTAGTCCCTACTCTACAGGAAATCTTTGACTTTCTTTCACTGTATTCTGTGAATACATTGTGTGCCACAAGCTTTGATATGTAGTAGTGAATTTGTGTCTTAGTGGTAGAGTGCTTGCCTAGCATACATGAAGCCCTGAGTCCACATGAACAGAAAAACTGGAAGTGGCATTCAAGTGGTAGAGTGCCAGCACTGAGCAAAAGAAGTTCAGGGATAGTGCCCATGCCCTGAATTCAAGCCCGGGAGTGATGAAAAAATTCATCTAATTCTGAATACTTTCTAATTTCTATCAGGCCCCAATTGTGTCATTACACAGTTTGGGAGTTTGGGGTGGGGCTTTATAGCAAGAAGAAAGGTAAGCCACAGCTTTTATTAACTTTAATTTCTACATTGTGGACAATTAGGCAAAACATAAAACAATGCTTATGAGTGAGGTAAATAGTATAGTATATTTTAAATGTCTAGGAAAACTTCTAGGCACATAATAGGATGTTAATAATCAATAAATGGTCCATTTTAATTTTCACTTCTTTATTCCAGCTTCACATTTATACATTATTTCTTCATTATATTTTTTCTCAATTGATCATTAATATAAATCCTGAAAGCACCATATAGATTCCAGGATCACTGAAAACAGATTTGACACTTGAGGAATCTCAGAAGAAATCAGAAGGATTATGCCCTATGTGGTTCAAAGGTCATTTGTTCCCTGGATATTGATTTTCATGAATCAGACAGTAGACAAGACCCTGGGAGAAGAAACTGAACTGACAAGTAGCAGGTCTAGATTATTAATAATGAAATAGCCTCAGACTTTCTTGATGACTTAATTTAATGACAGAAAAGGAGTCCTAAACTGAAATGCCTGAAGTTGGGGTCAATACCTGGGTCCCTGAGAAGAAAACACAAGTTATTCCTAGGAGCTTTTTCCAAGGAGCATGGCATGATTGGTCCAAATACAAGGAATCAGGAAATGTTCTTATTTTCTCTTTTTAACAAAAAGAATTAAGGCTAAAAAGATTTACCATTGTATTTCTCTTCTGCCCTTAGGAAAACAGCCTTGGCTTGAGTTATGTAATTTTGCAAGTTTAATATAATCAAGGATAAGAATCATGGGCATCTAACCATTTTATTTCCTAGATTGAGATATCAATTCTATCATCTACTAATTGTATGACGAGCAATATGGGTATCCTATGAAAGACTTAATATATGTGGGTTTCCCTTATTTGCAATAACCAGTATATGTATAGGACAAGCAGAAAAGGTGAAAAGCTATGTACATATGACCATATAAGATAATGTTAAGCGAAATGAACCCCAAAACAGGGACACAAGTGTTTTTTTTCCTTTCTTGCTATTGTTTTTAACATACTTATAACGTACTATGTGAATTTTTTTGTTTGTTTCTTTGGTATGTTCTTCCCCCATGGTATAAACCCTGTTTTTACTGTATTTGATTCTGGTGCCCTGCATCTTGCAGAGAAGGGAAAAAACAAAATGCTTAAATAGGGATACAGGTTGACCCATTGTAACAATGAGATGTACAAGACACTATGTTGAAAATGAACTTTACCACTTTTGGGGCAGGGGGAGGGAGGGAAGTAGTTGGGGAGGTGGGAAGGAAGGGATGGTAGGGGAAAAACAAAGGAGGCAACAATGCTTGTTAGGAAATGTATTTGTTACCTTAATCATGTAACTGTAACCCCTCTGTATAGTATTTTTACAATAAAAAAGTATTGGAAAAAAATAAAGTTTAAGTGAATAAATAAAAAAAGACTTAATATACATATCTGTAGAGATATTTAAGAAGAAAATATTTCCCATTTTTAAAAGTGTATTTAATCTATAACACTTGATGTAATTAATAACTGTTGAGTGAAATTATATGTTAATTTTCATGTTTCACTTTATCTGAATGAAAGATTAGCTCATGGCAATTCTTGAAGCCTATTTTCTTTAGCTATTCTGGATGACATAGCTCTAGTCCTCATCTCTCCTGTGAATTTATTTTAGTTGTCTTAAATGTCTTTGATTCCCAATTCTATTCTCTTTCACAACCTCTACTCTTAAGACAATTCATTTATTCGTTTATTGCACATCTTGAGGCTTGAACTCTGGGCCTGGGCGCTGTCCCTGAGCTTCTTTTGCTCAAAGGCTAGTGATCTACCATTTGAGCCAAATTGCCACTTTCAGCTTTTTTGAGTAGTTTACTGGAGATAAGAGTCTTATGGCCTTTCCTGGCCAGGCTTGCTTTGAGCCATAATCCTCAGATCTCAGGCTCCTGAGTAGCAAGAATTACAGGCATGAGCCACCAGAGCCCAGCCAACAAAGTTGGTTATTAAAATGAAGGCCTACTCTGTTTCATTTCATTTCATTTAAACTACCTGCCTGGAAAGGCTTTAGCAATCTGATGCACTTGATGTTCCCATTTAAGGGTAAAACTCAGAGAAGAGAAGGAATTTACCAAGGCATCTACGACTATAAATCCATGCTTAGATGAGGGCTGAGCCCAGTACCCTTAGCCTATACAGTATTAGAAACTACAAGAGGGAGTATAGCAGATGACAACATATCTCCCCATCTAGTCAAAAGTTTCCAAGTACTTGGACTGGGATTTTTTTTTTGGCAGTATGTGGTTTAAACTTAGAACTCATAGTAGGCAGGTGCCCTACAATTTGATTCAAGCACTTAATTTCTGCCCTTTTTGGCCTCCCTTTAAAAAATTTGTATAGATCTTGAGTTTTGTCTAAGCTGGACTGGACCATCTTAAATTCCCCACATACCTAGAATGACAGACACACTTCACACATCTATTGATTGAGATCCACTCTTGTAAACTTTTTGCCAAGCCTTGCCTTGAGTTTTGATCCTCCTATTGTAGCCAAAAATAAACTAGGATCAAAGGTGTGAGCACAATTAATAATAATAGGTAAAACTTACATAGTATTTTCTATTACCAAATGAGTTTCCAAACACTATACTGACAGTAACTTATTTATTTTGTATCAGAACACCATGAAATATCTTATTATTTTTTAGTATGAGAACTAAACTCATGTCAAGTCATGAAATTCAAATACAGAAGTGTGTAGTAGCTTGACAAGATCCAAAGTGATAGAGTTGTGAATAAAAATAATATTTTTAGCTTCCAGGTTCCAAGGTTTCAAAGCTAATTGATGAAAGCCAATCATAGAGAATATGATCTCTGTACTGTTGTTTAGCTGGCACAAGATATTATAATCCATGGAGCACTGGTTATCCTAATTATACTATTGGCTTCTAGTCCTAAGAATACTTTTAACTTGCTTATTATTTTCTTTCTTGATTGTCAAGGAGTGGCAATTTGCATAGCCTTCTGGTAAATATCTTTTTCTTTTTCAGAGGGTCATTTTCAACATTGTTAACTTCAGTAAAACAAAGAGTCTTTATAGAGATGGGATGGCCCCTATGGTGAAATCTACCAGCAGACCAAAATGGTAAGTGACCACAGAATATATAATCCCTTTCTGGTTAGAAATTATTATCTAGGACTCCAGCTTATCTTTTGTGTTGCTGGAGATCAGGATGACTATTGCTTAAAATATAAATGAGTTTCTGGACAACCATTTTCTAGAATCTTGGTACCATTCTTTAAGAATGTCAGGAATATGGTTCCATGTTAGGAATGATCAATATTCTATTTTTAGTGCATTCACAATTTAGTATTTCATAAGATCACATCACAATTTAGTATTTCATAAGATCACATGCTGTTTGTCTTAAATAATATCTTTGAAAGGGTTATTAGGGTTATATGGATTTCCTTGGGTCTAACTTAAGTATAGAGAATATATGTAATCTGAGAGGACACTTTTTATGGTGTTTGTCATACATGTATTCTTTTATGGATATTAAAATTTGACTTTTCCTTTCACTATACTGACTGAGGAGGAAAAGAGTCAACATTATTACTTACTAGTGATGATGATGGTAATGATGACGATGAAGCTAGTAAGAATAACTACTCTACTTCTGGAACCTCATTCTTTTTATTTTTCCATGCTATAATTATTTTTGATTTTTAAATTATGAAGATGATGTACAGGGGGTTATTGTTTCATAAGTCATGTAATGAGTACATGTCTTTTGGGGCAATGTCACCCCTTCCTTCAGTTTTTTTCCCTCCCTTGCTTGCCCACAAGTTGTGTAGTTCATTTTCAGCATAGTTTTTACTGAGTACCACTAGTGCATTTGTTCAGCTTTTGTCCCTCCATTTCTGTGCTCCCTATTACCCTACCCCTAAGAAAAACAGAACAAACAAGACAAAAACAGAGAAAAAAAACACTCTTGTTTCCATTTCCTGGAATCTGTTTCAGTAAGTATCATATGATCAGAGGCACAGAGGCATTGAGCCTTTGTGCTCCTCCCTTAAGAGTATCCTCCTTTGGTCTCATTCTCTATGGATGCTTACCGTCCTGTATAATTTATCAAATCCTGGTGCACTTTATATCTAGCTTCTGCATATGAGAGAAAATCTGCACCATTTGTCTTTCTGAGTTTAAGACATCCTTCTTTAGCGAAGTCTTTAATATTTTTGTTACTACTTTTCACATGGTTTTAAGGTAGATGTTAAGTGTCACTATATTACACATGAAAATCTTGAAGCTATAGAAAGTTAAGTAAATTCTCAAGAGCATAAATAGTAAAGGGGAGAGCCTGTGTTATTTATATTACCTAAAATTGTTTTTTCAATTAATTCATCCTTCTCTCCATACATTTATTTATTTATTCAACAAACATTTATTGAATGTAACAAAATGAGAATTTTAAGAAAATAGCAAGCAAGTATTAATCATCTATAACACAGTAGGTGTTAAGTGAATGTTTGTTAAACTGAACTGAATTCTTTATGAAAATTTACATGTAATGTGCCTGGCACTTGCTAAGTGCTCAATAAATGTCATCTATTATTAATAGTATTGTGTAAAACATTGTACAAATGCAAGGAATTGTTAATATTATTCTTGCTTTGATCCCTGTTCAAATTTTAATGACTAGTGAATAGATAGTCTCAAAATGTCTATATTTATAGAAAACTAGCAATTCATAAATATTGAATTGTGCTTTTATCTACAATGATACTTGGCAATTTTCTATAAATGCTAGACAGAGAAGTTCAGGTTTATAAAAGTGTAGGCATGTGATGATGATAATGAAAACTGTTTATTAAAAGGTAAAAATATCTCCCTAGGCATGTATTTTGCTATGCTGGCTGCATTAAATCAACAACTACTTTATTTTCTCTGCAATGCTTTCTGAATATAGGGTCTGGGCAAGAGATATACTTTTGCTCTCAACCTCTAAATTTAACCCAAACAGACACTAATAGATCCACCTTTTTAATTAATAGGCATAGATATAGATGAGAATTTCAAATGAATGAAAGGGTATCACTATTGATCTCCTCATGAGAATATACATCCTTTCAAGATTCTATTTGGGATCTTATACTGCAACAATAATTACCATCCCCTTGTCTCCAGTGTTATTAACTCTTTCCACCTCTCTCCTATGTGTGTCTCTCTATAAGCTTTTGAAAATCTTTCAACCTTCATTATTTCATTTCTATCCCCCCCAATAGACTAACACTTAGTTCTTCTCTGCCATAAATCTTGATAAGATTTTAACATACTAAGAAATCCTTGTATTTGCATTATAATGTCTAGGCTTAAGTTAGTGTCCATATCCACTATGGGCAGCTGTTATCCAGTCATTGAGCTTCTCTAAGGACCTGAACGGGCCTCGTGTTGCTGAACTGAGTTTGTAGTAATTTTTCTTGCCAGTTATTTATACTAACCTATATCTTGGATAGAGAGCTGATTACATCTCTTTTCCTCCAGGCAAATGTTGAGATATTTGTTTTTCCCCCACAGGACTTTATTGAGCATTTTCATGTGCCATGTGCTGTGCTAAACATTGTTGATGCAGTATGTGAATCTCCCCTAAGAGGGAACTTTCATAAATTTTACTAGTTTATCTCTATGAGTCATAATTATTACTCTCATTGCTACTTATTTGCTCTGAGAGTCACTTCTTAGGTTCACTCCTTAAGACTTTCACCCCTTTCCTGTGCCATTCACCTGTATCAGAACCTGTTGCATTATGTTTTGAAGTGAGACAAAGAAGTCACTATGACTATTTGACTCACAGAATATTAGAGTTTACTGGCTCTAAGAGTCCATCACAATTTGGAATACTTAGCAATGGCCCAACTCAAGACTGACAAATACCTTTAAAATACCCAAATTAGAATATCTTATCCAATCTTGTCCTAATTCCAGTTTTCCTAGTACCAAGGCAACCATTATAGAAAAAATAAAAATGTCTGATACTTTTTGCATCCAGGGTTTTGCTTCCTTTGACAATATAAAATAGGTCATGGAAAAATTTCTACCTCAGGATAAACATTAAAAATTTTAATTGCTGGTATTTATCTACAGCAAATTAAGAAGACAGTATTTTTTCACCTTTTCAAGGTAAAACATTCTTCATGTCTCTCAGAGAAGGTTATAACTGATCCTAAAGCCTTAGCACAGGTCTGTAAATCAGCTAGTTGTAGAAAACAATTTTTTTAAAGACAGAACTGAAAAGCCATTATGCAAATATTTGATCACATAAGGAAAAATAGCTATTAGCAAAAGGAAAACTAGGAATTTTGGAAATATTGGGCATGTTCATTATAATTTTGATTACCTCTCAGACCTTTAAAGGATTGTTATTAGGGCGCTATAGTATAATATTTTGGAAACATACATAACTTTTTAATATTAGTTCTTAATAATACCAAAGACTGAGTTTGATATGTTCTAAGAATTGCTCAGAGTTGTCATAAGACAACTGAGATTTGTATCTTCACTTGTGCAGAAATCTAGAGGAATATTTACACAACTAGTAAATAGGGGAGCTAGCCAGAAACCCTCTGACTCCAAGTTCATTTTTCTCTTTGTAATCCAGGCATGGGAATTGTTGAAAAAGAGAAATACAAGCAAAGCATGAGGGATATTGTGTATCACCTTTGGTAGATCTAAAATTCCTTTGACTGGCCCTCTGTTACAGAAAACTGGAGGCCCTGCGTTCAATTCCTCAGCACCACATAAGGAGAAAAAGCCAGAAATGGCACTGTGGCTCAAGTGGTAGAGTGCTTGCCTTGAACTGAAGAGCTGAGGGACAGTGCCCAGGCCCAGAGTTCAGGTTTCATGACCGACAAAAAGAAAAAAAAAGAAAAAAAAAAGAAAATTGGGATTAGATTAATTCTCAGAAGTATTTTTATTTTATTTTACTGTGGTTAAGTTGTTGTACAAAGCAACTGCAATTTAACAAAGCAGTTTATGCATACAATGTATTTTGATCAGGGTCACTCCTTTCAGCACTCTAATCTATTGCTCCAATACTACCACTTCCTTTGCATTTCTTAATTTTGTAGGGTTTACAATGAATTAATGACATTTTCCTCCTTTCTCCTCTTCATTTGTCTACTTCTCTCTACTTGACCCAACCACCCCTTTCAAGTACCAATTTCCTGGTGTTTATGTTGTTGAATTTTGACTTTGCCTTTATATGGAATTACACTATTTGAGTTCTCCTTTGAATCTACCATATTGTTAATTCCACCTAAAGCATCTACTTATGTTTCTACTAAACTTATTTTTTTGAGTATCTAGTCTGTGCTAGATCCTGGAGTGATATATATAAATCTGATCTAAATTCAGTCTTTGAAGATTATTTATTTATTGTTCTGTTCCTGGGCCTTGAACTCAGGACTTGGACACTGTCCCTAAGCTTCTTTTGCTCAAGGTTAGTGCTACCACATAAGCCACAGCTCGACTTCTGGATTTTTCTGAGTAGTTTGTTGGAGATGAGTCTCAGAGATGATCCTGTCCAGGCTGGCTTTGCACTAGACTGGCTTTTCAACATGATAATCCGATCTTAGCCATCTGAGTACCTAAAATTACATGTGCCCAATTAGGATTTAATTTTTTAAGAAATTGAAATAAAGGTAGAAATGGTGGTACACCCTTGTAATCCTAACAGGTAGAGGGGGGTGGTTAGGGAGGAAGGTATGGAAAGAAGAAGAAAAAAAGAAGAGGAGAGGAGAGGAAAAGAGAAAAGAGAGATAATTACTGTTAATTTCTCTTCTTTTTCAAAAATGCCATGCATTGTGTCTAGAACTTAATGCCTGTTCATGAAAGTTTGATTTACTGTTCAGGACTGTTTTTTTTCCTAACCAATTCCAGGATAAAAGAACTTAATAAGGATTCTTGGGACATAAATAGATTAATTTTTGCTCTTTAGCTTATGATCAAGTATATTAGAAAAATGAAATGTTTCTTCCTTGAGTTCAGATATACTTTAATATTAGGGAGTTTGGAAAAGCAAATAAGTAAGCTCATCAAATAGCACATTATAAAACTCTAGCCAGTTAAAGAAGAGGTAACTG